CAACGAACCAAGGGAGGAGAGTCTTTGTCCGAGGCTTCTTGCGAAAGCGTTATTCGATTCGAGATTGTTTGTACGATGGTGAGGCGCCGATTCAGCGATCGGATCGCGATGCTTCGCAAGATCATCTCGGCAATCTCTTGATCGGCACGAACTCTCGACTCTAAAAAACCAAATGAGCTGCGCGCCACACTTTTGCGCGCTCTCAATTTCGTCTTTAATTTCTTTTTCTCGTGAATTTATTTAAAGCGGAGACGGGGTTTTTCATTTGCCCTCGAGATTTTCACTTTGACAATTGGAATTCTTATTACGAATAAGTATTTATGTTTATGCTATAGTGCCTGCACTTTAAAATACTCTTTTTGCTCGGAACGTAGCGATGCATTCAAATTAGTAACCGTTGAGAATGGCATGTAAATTAAATATTACAATATTGCGAGAAAACGATTACTCAAAGCTCGGAATATTATTATTGAATATATAGGATTTATTATCGTGCACAGTACAGAGTTATATTTTCCTTGTTATGTTCCATAAGAAAGTTTTATGAAAAGTACAAAGTAAACTGTATACCGGAATGCACTACTGGAATTAAATTTTATATTATTTAATTAGCTAAAATATGATTATGAAATATCATGAAAAAGTTTCATTAATTTTGATCATGAAATTGAGTATCTCGGTCTAATTGCTTTACCATACCCTATTGCGTTATTAGTAATTTTAATTTTTTCTCTCATTAAAAGGAATATTTTGCTTACTTTGCTTCTTTTACTCCGCGTCAGATAATACTTTAATTTAGCTCTTACGGAACATTTAATTAAATAGCATTAAATACACATTTTCAAGACTAATTATAAAAGTTTTGATATATCTTGATATATATGATTATTAAAATATTTAGTAGATTATTATAAAAGCCGAAATTCAAGATTCATTTAACTAAAAAAATATTCAATTGCTTTGTTGCCTTATCTTACATGTTAGTAATTTCTCCTCGACCGTTATTAACCAAATCCATTATTAATAACTTTCAAGCGTTATATTTTATAAAAGTTCGTTACTTACATAATTCAAGACCATCTTTATTAAAATACAGTTTATGCGTAAAAAAAAAATTAGCATGAATCGGAAGATTGTGGATAAAATTGTTTAAAAAAAGGCGACTCTCTTCACATTTACATACCACTTACTGTTAAACAAATTATTGATTCGAAGATTATACTTTAAGGCTGATTTTATCCATTCAATTCATACATCAATGAGTACTTGATCTATAATTCAATTAAACCGATACAATTAATGCGAATAAGGAACAATGAGACTCTTTACAACATCGTAAAATAGAAAAACAATTTTATTAAGAAACGGCATTTTGTTGAAAGTGTTGATTTATTATTGGGAATGAAATAGCTCACATTGGCCAATAAACTGTAATGGACATCATTCTTCTTCCAATATGAGCTCTAAATTGAAATTATTTTCAAAAATGAATTTAAAATAGTCCGAGCGACGGGGAAAAACGTTTGGCGTGGGTGAGCTTAGGGAAAGTAACTTTAATACGGGGAATAATGTTGTTAATGCAATTTTAAAAGTTGCACGAATTTACTACGTACTTGTAAGTGCCTCTAAGTACATGCAATGGTGGTTAAATTGTGGAAGAACTCGGCACAACCGATCGATAGAAGAAATGCGCGCGGTACGAGCTTACGCTCCCAACCGTTCTTATCGCGATTAGGAAAGAAATAGTGTTGCGGTCAAGTGGCGATTAAATATTTCATTCCGTGATGATTTTTCTGTGTCCGTTGTAGCAGTTAAATTCTTTGCTACGTCGCCACTGTCATTATTTTTCGATTTCGTGCTTAGCGTAATTGCGCCATTAGCCATTGTATTTGCTTTCAGTCGTAGATGCTTCGGAATTCTATTTCGAATGAAATATTAATTGTCGCGTGCTGATATTTTCTTGACAATCTGTTGACGCTACATTAAAACGGTAATTTACGACATTTTCCGCTAATGCCCGGTGCTGTCGACTCGACGGAGCAAATGACGATAACGAAATTTGTGCATTTTTGACTCGTTAAAATTAAATGGAAAACCAAGTAGTTTTAAGCGTACATAAAAACCGGGAGATTTTTGAAAATTTTATGGAGACGCTATTTGACAAAGCTTAAAAGCTCGTTTCTTTTTTTTTTTTTTTAGATAAGACATTATCAAATTTCGAAAAATCTTTAAAATGTAAATTACATTTAATCAGAATATTCAAAGGGAAGGTATTACGAAAACGTAAGAGTGCACATGGTTTTGTATTAAATAGATGAATTTTTAATTACTCCGTAGGTGGCTACTTTTCATAAAAGATTTTAATTTTCAACGAATTAATTTTTGAAGATTCTTAAATTTTTTTAACTTTAATTTTAATATACTTGGGCTTTTATCGTGCTTTTTCTAAGAATAATAAAAATCCGGCTAGCTGAACTCGCTGGTTGCTCTTGCAAAAATCAAATGCAATTTTCAAGTTGTAAAACGTTGAAATATATAATCGTTCCTTGCCTCGACTATCATCTCATATTTCAATTGTTAATTAAAGAGATGCAATGTGTGGACGTTCCGAGTATTTCCATTAAGCACGAATATCTCATGCCTAATGAAATTAAATCACGGATACAGCGGGTATGATTTTTTTTTTTTTTTTTTTTTTTTTTTTTTTTTTTTTTGCTTTTTTCACTCAACTAGCTTCTATATCACAACTCAAAAATTCAATGTCCGAAGGATGAGGATATCTCTGTACTCGGAGCACACGTTGTAATATTACCTCGTATCAATTTTCAAGCTTGCATTACAATTTTCAACAGAAATCGCAATAAACACGCCGCAGCCGCCCGCCCTCGCACACGGCGTTGGCGTACATTAGAATAATGCCAGTGGGAATCGGAAAGGCCGGCAACTTTTCATCCTTTGACCGAATAAATTGTATGCGGAGATGGGAGTCGATTCGAACTTTTCATTAATAAATCAGCAATGGCGGGAGAAGTCGGCATAGTAGCGAGAAAATTTCTGGCTCCGGTCCCGACGACTGCTCTTCGCGCACCTCTAGTCCTTCCGTTAATTAATGCTTATTTACGAGCGCTCGGCTCTTTATTTTTTCGCCGTGGAAAAGCAATTCCTTGTCGCGGCAAGATAAGCCCGCGCGCTTAGAATAGCCCGAGGCAAACGAAATAGCGGGAGAGCGAGAGAGTGATGAGATATGGCGATGAGGGGGGGGGGGAGAAAAGGGCCAAGACGGTCTTATTTTCTTCGAGGGAATTTCACGGCACGCGCTCTTTACTTCTCGCCTCTTGGCTTCTTTCTCAGCTATAAAGCTGCGACGGGATTGCGACTCGAGCTTTACGTTCGTAAAGCGTGACGGAAGTAGCCAAGAGGACAAACTTCGTCGATCGGGAAATCAAGGACTCCTCGCTCCCGCGAATATTGCCACTCGGATCGATGCGAATAAATGATGCGGGGAGCCAGTGTCGTATATCGCGTGATGGACTCTCGCTTATCACGACATTCATGATAATTCATACTCCTTAGGAAAGACAATGATCCTTGGCCGTCGTTTATGAAAAGCTGACCTATTTTTAAAGCGAGCGTAGTAGCCGTAATTGTGAGTACCACCGGGATGTTTAGTATTAGTCGATGTACTCGGGGGACGGAGAGAAGAGATCGTCCCAATTAGTCGATAGTAGCCGTAGCTCCTGTATAGGTTTACTCGTACACGTATGCGTCGCGCTCCTTTTTTCCTCGTGCATGTATGTGCACTTCGATTCATTCGCATGAATTGCGAAAGCGAACGTTATCGACCGATGGAGAAGGCCATGGACTTGACGATATGGACAAGCCGACGGGGACTGGATTCGTTCAGTCGACGAGCGTCCGAGCCCGAGCGTTGACTACATCGGCCTTTGCCTGCGATATCTGACGGGACAAAGAAGAGTGACATAAGAATGAATAAAGCAGTGCTTTCAGTCATTACGGATGAAGCAAAGCTCTCTCTCTCTCTCTCTCTCTCTCTCTCTCCCTCTCAGTGAATTTTCAACGAATGGTCGCCGACGGGCTTAACAACGTCCATTAGTCCATTATTTTTTGTATTATAATAGTTGCTGCCAATTGGGTTGATTGGCCGTTTACGAGATATTTCATACGCGATTTACTTCCGATTTATTAAGCTTTCCGAGCGAAGCTCAACGTCAACGAAAGCATACTAATTTTTCAGACCCCGCATACTTTAAATACAAATAATAATAGATCGTTTGCTAAAATTAATTCCCTCTACTTAAAATGTCTAAATACTGAAATTATCACTTGCGAGGAGTGTCGGAAAAGCCTATTGGCGACAACCCCCTCCCAACCCAAATGGGATATTTATCGACGCCTTAGCATTAGTTGTGAAATATAGCCTGTTAGTCGACATTAATTCTATCTTTATTACAAAGTTCAAGGCAGTGCGTCGAGCATGTCGAAAGTCATAAAATCTATTTCGCATAGAAATGCTCGATACCTTGCATTTAAACATTTATGATATTATCCTCGGCTCTTGCACTGGCAATGTCGTAACGAGTAATGTAATGCACGACTTTATTAACCTCGGCGAAAATTGGCCGTCACCCATAAATTCCAATAAGACAGACTTAGCACGCAGACTTGAAATAATGTCCGATCGAATCGGCAGCCAAACATACAATACGCCAATCATTGCACCTGGCACACTTGAGTCTCTAGAAATTGAAGAGATTCGCTTGCCCCGCCCCGCTCCAGGACGTGCATCCACGCACAGATTAAAAAGCCCTCACCGCTCAGGATGAGTCATACGTCCGCACGGCCGTTGTTCGTGCAGCTTCGGCTCGGCCCCGGGAAAACATTATAAATCTCACGGGCAGATAGAAGTAGTAACTTTTATTTCATCAGCGAGGATGATTCTCACGAGAATTTCCGTTCATCCGGGACGTATTTGCTTGCAGATCTCGGTGAGTACGGTGAGCACGAGGCGCTTCAGCAGGGCGGGGACGCCCAGCTCCATCCTCTCCTCGGACAGCGACATCCGGTTCACGAGGAAGCTTGGCAGCCAGTACAGGTGCGGCTGCTGCGTACTCGCTGCCTTTCTACTCTTCCTACTCTTCGCCGGAGTCTCCATTTACCTCGGATGTGAGTCTTTTTTATTTAACTCAAATGGGCTTGGGCGGCGCGTGGGCGAGCACGAAGGTGGGAGGAGGGACGCCGAGGTGGTTCGCGAGGCCGGACCGCGGAAATTGTCGGAGCGTTATTTACAGGCTTCGTTGTTATAAAGAATGTGAAGCGAATCGCGAGCCATGCTTATGCGACGAGTGAAAAGTCGAATTGGCCGCGTGATTAATGGACCGACGGGAAATATTGGGCGCCGGTATCATTCTCATTGGCCTAGTGGTACAATTTTTTTTTCTCAGAGTGATTATCCATGCGCGGAGTCACTTATCTGCACGGACTCGCTCTCATGAAAAAACCGATTGCCAAAGTATGAAAACATTTTTCATACCCACGTGTCTTAGACTCGAGAAGGATTTTTCACAGCGGGATGCTGCACGTTGAAAATCACGGAGATGATGAAGGAATTTGTAAATCGCTCGGATAAATACAAACGGTTTGTAGGGAAGTTTTAACGAGATGTAAGTACTTGATAGAGGCAGTCAAATTATTAACAAACTAGCGGTAGTCGCTGTAATACGGACACGCGTGGAAAATTATATAGGAAGCGACGCATGAATAAGGCTGATTTCTACGAAATGCAAAAGTATTAACAATTTTGTCGTCGAAATGATTTCATGGATTACGCTGTTATATCCTACTGAAAAATCTATTTTTTTTTTCTGTTATAATTTTTTAATTCGACGCTGTTACGAGGTAAAGCTTTATAAGGTCAGGCCGTAGCAATAATACTATAATATTTAAACAATAATTAAACGGTAAGCCTCGAATTTGGAGAGAAATGGCATTTTATAATAATATATTCGAGGATCAAGCATTTATATTTTGACTTTTCCTAATTAGTTCTTAATATTTTTCAAAAATACAACTTTTATAGGTGAGCATTTGTTTAATTTGTACTTTCTTTATGTATATGCAACTTGCTGTCTTTTCTATTATTTTCCGCTACACAATTATATTATTTTATTACTTAATTGTAAGAAGACCAAAAAAAAAAAAAAAAAAAAAAAAAAAAAAAAAAAAAAAAAAAAAAAAAAAACTTTTTTTAGTAACAGTATCGTTATATCGATTAAATTATAGAAAACTGTCCTTATATTGGTAGATTTGCCGTCTAACTAAAAGTGTAACGAGATAATTGCAAAACTTTTAGCTCTACATCTATTTTCAAATTGTTAGGAATCAAAACATGCATGTGATGGATAAATTTAATATTTAATTTTCAAAAACAATCATTCAACTAAAAGGCTAAATTATATACAATTTGAGTATAACTTTTTAAAGTCTATTGACATATTGCATTTTGACGCGATAAGCGTCAAATTCAGCAATTAGCAATTAGCAATAGTTCAGCACAATATTATACATAAATTTATTGATTTGCATTATTATTACCAAAATTTATACATACTCATTAAAGACACTTATTGCTTTTATAATAATTAAATATATCACTTGGATTTCTTGTCATTAATTTTGTTCTTTCTGTACATGCTTGTTTCGACATTGATGATTCGACATTCGTATGATTGTTATTAATTTGTATTAAATATAGTACTATCTAAAAAAGTTTTATTATTATGAGTTGTATTAATTCAGTCGAAGAAATTTCACAGCTTGAATTCATAGTTTGATGATTTACAAGTATATGGACGTTTAAGAAAAATGGCATTAAGAGAATACATTGAAAATGAATTCATTTTGAAGAAAGAAAAAACGCGATAGACTCTTTGGATAATGCTTCGAACTCAAAAATTTATGAAACAAGGATGATGAGTAATGAGTGAATGATAGAGAGAGAGAGAGAGAGAGAGAGAGAGAGAGAGAATAATAAAGCAGCAAAAAGTTCGCCTTTCAACCCGTGAATATCCCGTTAATAAAGAGTTAAACTCGAGTTAAAGCGATAATCACCGGTTTTAAAGTATACCAGCGTCGTCATTCGTGGAAATGATAGAAACACCGATACCTACCATCCCTTAATAATCTCCAGTAATGTGCTCATGGTTCAATACTTTAGGGATTCAATATTCAGCACTTACACCCCTGCTAAAACAAAACAAAAAAAAAAACATATCAAATTCCCTTTTTAATTTGGCTACCCGACCGCTTTCCCTTTCCTTTTCGACTATAAGCGCATTACACTCCTTGAAAACGGACAAGCGATTGGTGTTATTCTCACGCGAGAAAATTCGAGAGAACTCAGGACCTGAACGAGGGTGTACTTAGGACCTCGTCATCGAATCCGTTTGCAAGTACGCGTATTAATTATATTCCTGGATCCCTATCTGGCGACACTCTTGTCAACGAGGAATTTCGTATGACTCATTAAAATCGTACAAAGTGTTACAATTGAGTTTCCCTTGTATAGAATTAGATTAAGGATCGCTCGGTAAGATGGAACTTTCATTATATCGATAATCTAGTTAGAAATGAAGAGTGAAACGAATAAGATAATGAATAAGAGTCTTGCATTGCGCTTTTTCTCATTTCGCTTAAGAATGAAAGCATCGATGGTCCCGATTCTGCCTCATCATGGGCGTTATAAATAGAGACGACCAAACTGAAAGTAATACTTAATTTTTCTGAGTAGGTAAACAATATAACAATGCAGAAATAAATTTTTTTTCCCCTTTGTTATCCTTGAAAGCGCTCTTTTGTTTCTAAAGTCATTAATAGCAACAATAGCTTGTGTGAAACTAAGGCAAAGACTCGATAAATAAACGATCAATTATAGTTAATCGATAATGAGAAATGATGAGTATTAAAAATCAGCATTATTGGAGTAATAAAGAATTTCACTGGCTAACCATGCATTAGGAGTTAATGCCGATTGCCGTTTCTAATTTCAATTTTCAATTTTGGCTTGTGTAAGTGAATAAGTGAGTAAGCCGATGCTATTCTTAATGCGCGTCGATCCTGTAGCGTATAGATATTGACAAAAGATCGATAGGTCGTAAAACTTATTTAAAGTACGTAGAATTGTAACAAAGTTATTGGCTTAAGTTATAATACTTAATAATAAGAGCTTTATAATAATAATGAAATAATAGAATTGGATTTTCAAGTAAAACTAATGAATAATAAATGGTCGTTGACAAGTTCAAGATTGCATTATTACTAATAAAAACTTAAGTAAGTTATAGATCTTAGATAAGTTAACACACGAATACGCTTTTCGAGTTGAATTTCAAGACATAATGGATATTGACGTAACAGAGTTAGTACAACTGTTTCTAGCAGGTTATGAGCTTACCGGCAAATTACAAAGCGACGAAGAAGCTTTTCTTTCTGAATTTCTCAAAAAAATGCAAATGCCAATTACTTGCAGCTCGTGGTACCCGGTTGTTTTTAACGCGCCGATTAACCTGAATTACAATATAAAACAAAGACTAAGACTCGTCTTCGAATGTAACCTCTGCCGCACTGTAATCATTACGAAAGCTACCAATGTAATTGATGACCTATGACCCTTAGCGGCATAAACTCGACTATAATAACGAATGTAATAATAATAATAATTACCGTGCAAATAATCGAAACGTCGATAAAAAAAAAAAAAAAAAAAAAAAAAAAAAAAAAAAAAAAAAAAAAAAACAAACACTTGGACTCGGACTATTTATGTATAATTAGAAATTCTATTATAATTAGATATTCGACGATATTTTCTCGAAATTGAAATAAGCTAACAACGAAATCCTAATCATCCAGAACATACATCAGATGCTTACAATTGTACTAAAAATTTCTATTATACAAAATCGGCCGCGAAACTAGTAGTAACAAACAACAGTTCATTGTCCGCGCGAAAATTCCTATTAATTATAAATCTCTTGACGTATTCGGCATTTCAGCATTTTTGCCCTCGTGCAGTCCTTTAATAAAAATTTTAGCAATTAATCTTTCCGACCATGTCAACGAAGGCTACTCAAAATTTTCAAGAGTCAGTTTTACGATCTGGGCTGCGCGTTAAGCCAACTAGACAAGAATTCACCAATGGTATATTTCATAATGGTATATCTCACTCTATGTATAGTAATAATATATCGAGCCGCTGATCAATAAGCAACTCTGTTCGGAGGATACACTGAAAAACAATCAATTCGGCCGTGGGGCGGGGTAAAAACTTTTCCAAAGTCGATGGGAAGAGAGATAAAAGCAAAAAACAGCGAACACCGGCTTGCCATAAAATATCGCACGGTCGCGTGCAAACAATAAAAGGAGATACCCATAATTCAAATTGACGTTCGCATCGGGTCGTGTCGCTTGGCTCCAGGTAAATACCTGCATGTGGGCTCGATTTCCATTTCGCCCACAGAGTGGAGAAAAAGAGCGGATAGATCTTGCGAGATCTCGATTAAACTTCGTCGATGAATTTTGGAGATGATTTTTTTTTTTTTTTTCGTTTTGCAGCTTGACGTGCTATAACCTGGCGTTTCCAAAGTTTTTACGAACGTGATGATGTTGTAGCGGTGGTAGCTTGTAAACCTTATAATAATACTAAGCTCAGGCGTAGCGGTTGGCGGTTAAAAATTCCATCTCGAACAAGTGCCTGTGCTACTAAGTGCTTCACTTTCATTGATTATAAGCAAGGAATTTGCAGCAAAAAGATATTCTTACTTTTTTTCCCCTTTCTTTTCTTTTTTCTTTAATTCTTTTTCTCTTTTTCCCTAGAAAGATGTTTGCAAACATGTTACAAATACCTTTTGATTCTGTATAATAAAATTAGCAGTTCTCTTCTTTTATTAACTTTTCTATTATTCAAGCCTTTGTTAGCTTGTTGTTTTGTTGTTGTTGTTTTTGTTGTTATTTGTTTGTTTGTTTGTTTTGCTTTATTGGCCCTTTTATGTGTCTTTTCAACTTATATTATTTTATTCAGTGCTAATAATTGAGAATGAGTTGTAAAATTATCAAGAGAAATTGCTTAATTATAAAACGTGCTTACTTTGATGGGAGAATATTCTTATTTAGTCGGCTACAATAGTGAAATTTCATTCCAACGGACAATATTTTCTTCTTTATTACATTACTAAGATAAGCCCATTAGAATAATTATTTTCATAATAATATATAGTCGCGATATGCGTATTGATTACAAACAAAACCCGCGTAAATGTAAAGAAATATGTCATTGTCTTTCATTACTCATTGTCATTGAGAGTAATAAGTTTTATAAATATTGTATTATATGTAAATCTATAATATTATACTTTAATATTTTCTCAAAATATATTCCTGAAATTTCTATAAAATTAAGATTTAAGATGTAATTTAAGATTTTTTTTTTTTTTTTAAACGATATACTTAATCGTACTTAATACAGTTTTCATTAATAGATTAAACAATTATTTATTCGATGCCTATAGTTATATAAATATTTCTTACCTATATGATAGATAGTATTGGTATTTCATTTCAAGGAGCGAGGAATATTATATAAAAATAATTCAAAATCAAATATGAAAATGCGAACTTTTGACTTTGCCTGCCGATTGAGCAAAACTCTTTCTTTCCTCGAGAGTCTTAATATAATCGAATAACAATATCAATTAATATTGAACTCGGTTTTGTATAGTACATGCTTTGTGCTTAAATATATCTCTAAACAAAAAAAAAAAAAAATTTTTTTTTTTTTTTTTTTTTTTTTATAAGCAAGACTGTACTATAATATTAGTAATTTGACCGTAGATGCTATAATAATGAAGCAATTGCCTTGTTTATGTGGATAATACTTATTTTACATGACTGGGCATTACCTCATTATCCGCTAAGAATGTACAAAATTGGTTTCTTGTTAATTCATATATTGTGAAAAATTTAGAGCACGTTACATTTACTAATTTTTTTCCACCTTTTTGCAAAAGTATTCCTTTAAAGTGACATGGATACTAATAAGAAGTTGATAGATCTATTTTCTTTCTCAGTTGTTAATAATTATTATCTACTTATTATTTATGAACCATTCAACAAATTTTCACTTTGACATAATTGCTAAAATAAAAGTGGATATTGGCGAATTATATTTAACAGAGAACCATAAATACCACATTTTTCAAAATAACGAGTAGAATTTAAAAAAAAGAAAAAAATGAAAAAAAAACGCCTATATGAAAATTCCTCGATAATTGCATTTATTAAAGATACCGATAAATATCCTTTTTACATATAAAATTTTTCACTGAAAACGGCATAGGTAATTATCAATAATTAAGTACGCTAGTAGCGAAGCTAATATTTTCGTTCAATTTAAAACATGAAAAACGTAATTAATGTAACTTTCAAAGTTATGAATGCTTAAATAAATTTATAGCGAATAAAGAAAAGTTTTAATAGTGATGAGTTGCCATTACATATCGAATAAAGAAAGTTGTGAAAAGCTATCATTTTTAAACCACGTCATAAACAGTCATAAATCACTGCTCTCTTCGGTAAAGTTAATTTTCAACATTATTAATAATATGTTAGATGAAGTTATAATGAATTACACCGATTATGTTTAAATAATTCTAATATGAATGTGACTGCTAAACTGTCGGTCGTGTCTCAGATTTTAAAGAAGTTGATTTCGAGAACTGAAAGTAAAACTTAAATACTGAAATATTTATTATAATATACGTAATACCATTAATAACATAGTGTCGATACAAAAATTACAAAATACTATAAAAAAAAAATAAAAATATTATACTTGGTTTTTCTGTAGCTTATTTTTGAAGAAGAGAAGAAGGTTAGCGAAGCCTTTTTCATGCGTTTATAACATCTGAATTTATGTGATCATGCGATCGTTAATTTAAACAATAATGGATTACATATTTCATTTATGATGATGAATTATTACATTAAACTCTGTTTGGTAAGAAAAACGCGGAAAAATAATTAAAAGTAACGAAGACAAACGTAAAATCATGAGATGTTGTTGAGTTTAAAGTAACATTTACTTTATAAATTGTAAATATCAATGAAATATTTTCAACGCGTAACACACCTATTTATAGTGTGTGTGTATATATATATATATATATATACGAACACACACACATAATCATATGTGAGAATTTCATAATTTTGAAAAATAAAAAAAGTCTATGTATATTATTAGAAAATGGAAATACTTTTGTAAATTTATATAATCACAAACGAATTGTAGTCATATTTCGACTGTAAATTTAATTCTATTAATGTACAACCGGCTACGTCGAATAATATTCAGTTATAAAAAATTCATCTGCAAATCTATTTGCATTTATATCTAAATAATTTATAGAGTAAAAGTAGCGCAGGTAATTTTATACCAATTATATTATACCTTTTCGAGTGCACATTTTCAAACAAATTAATAATCCAGTATATTCAGCAGCCGAGCATTCTGAAGAATAGAAAATATAAAAATACAGCGGCACATTTGCGTAAGTTATAAGCCTCCATTAATGCCGGTCTAAGCTGTAAAAGCTTCGGGTCATCCGAGGCAAAAGCATGAAAGCTCCGCGAAACAAATGAAATACTTAATGGAAGGCATCTGCCACTGTTTCAGACACGTTTCTGCAATCGGAATTGCCGAACGACCAAATATTCCTGGCGACGTTCCGCGTGACGCAGGGTGACGCCTTCAACCCCGAGCTCGCGGACCCGAGCACCGATGCCTTCCGCCAGAGGTCGCGCAGCTACCGGGACCGCATCAACCTGGCCTTCCGTCGCAGTCCCCTGCAGATGTCCTTCGTCGCTGCGGAGATCCTCGCACTCGATGGGTACGCCTCTGTCCTTAACTATTATTACTGCTGAACTACCGTGCCCCTTGATTGTTGAATCGACAGGAGATAGTGTAGCTTATCCATTTTATTCGGCTAATTAGCGAGACAAGAGATGGATCGTTAATTGTTAGATATAATTTTATTTGCATTGATTGGAGTTGAGTGTGCAAGGTCGGCTGACGATCCCAACCTAATACCTAACGTCATAATCCTAACAATACATTCTATTTTTGCCGACTTTTCCCTCTGGGTTATTTCACTCTAAACTAGTAATACATACTTCCTTTGCACTTCATACAATAGCGTAAAATATTTTCCAACTTGATACGTCAGTAGGAGAAGTACTGCATAATTTGTGGTACGCCGTTCAGCTATCGTGAAAATAAACATTTTGAAAAACTTTCCTTATACGTATATGCGAATTTCTCAAATAATAATATTGAAAATACGTGCGTAAAGTAGCTTCGTTCGTTATTTCTTTTAGTCTGTCTTTTTTGTCATTTTTTTTTTTTTTGCTTTTTAGCGTTAGTAGTTGCACTTAAGGTAATTCGCAGCCGCGGGCATATAAGTGTACGTCTATCTATATTTTGCCGCCGAAAGTCTCGATTGTTGGTATTTATGAATTGTTGAGGGTTTCGATGAATATCTAGCAAAATAAGGATACTTTACAATCGTAACTAACGAAAGCAATTCATTGATTACCCCGTCCTTATACATTATTAGTAAAGGGGAAAGGTATATTTCGATACTCGTAAAGTTTTTCGACATTTCGA